AAATGGATTTCATGTGAAGTCGTACGTAACACCTGTCGAGAAGATTGGTTCATGGGCATGTCTATGGATTTTTTCAATTAAGTTTGAGTCTTTTGTTTTTCTCCTGTTAATTATTTGTTACATAGTTGTGAATTGGTTTTCTAATGCATACCTTCGCTCATCTTCAATAATAAAAGTATTGTTACAACTGTATTCAAAGTTGGAGGCATTAGCAGTATTTCTCCATTAGATTTCTCATTCCTTTTTTTTTCTCATTTGGATGTAGTTAATATTTCCAAAATCATTTGCCCGTAAACATTAATTTTCTTTCTTTTGATAGTACTTTTCTTATTTTCTTCATGGATTTCAACCCAATTAATGATGAGTGTACACAAAACACAAGCAAAGTAGTTACAGTATTTAAATGTCCTATTCAGTTAGCTATCATGTGTTTAATTTCCTTTACCCAAAATTCTAATTGAACTGCTATAAACTGGTATTCTAGAGTCACTGTGAACCAGGTTAGTGGTAACTTTGTGTTTTTGTTAATTGTTTTTTTTTTTTTTTTCAAATTACAGATAAATACATAGCTATCTCACTGTGGATGCTACAACACCAACAAAGACTGTTGACAGTAAATAGCCAGGAGAGGGATTAGAGAATTCATCAGAGAGAAAAAGAAATCAAAAGAACTTTTTAATTTTTTTTATTGTAATATATAATTTTATAGACAGAGAGAGAGAGGGAGAGAGAAATGAAGATAACAGCATTGCTGGTGTTGAAGTCCAACCAGGATGGATCAGATTCAATAATCCTGGCAAATGCATCAGATGTCTCACATTATGGGTACTTCCAGCGCTCCACTGTCAAGGAATTCATTGTCTTCGTGGGTCGAACTGTTGCCAAGCGGACCCCACCCAGCCAGCGTCAATCTGTCCAGCACGAAGGTTCAACATTTTCTCTTTTTGGGTCATATCTGATCTCTTGTTAGTATTTTTTTTTTCCAGATTATATGCTACGCCCATAAGGTAGTTGTTTTTTGATGTCTTGCACAAATTATTATGTCCTGAGTTTGATTGAATGTTTATTTATGTTTTTCTTATTGGGATTTGCATTTTGTTTATAATATATATATATATATTATTTTCAAGCTATATTCCTTTTCTCTGGGTTTTGTGGTCTTGGTAATGATAATTGTGCTGTTCTATTGAAATAAAGAATTGAGTCTGGTATTTTTGGGTTGTGTAGAGTATAAGGTGCATTCTTATAATAGGAATGGCCTTTGTGCCGTGGGATTTATGGATGATCATTACCCAGTTCGAAGTGCATTTTCTCTTCTTAACCAGGTATTATTGAAACTTTTTTTTTGCCTTATTTCTTTGTGATGAAATGTTGCACAAAGAAACTTTCACATGATATACAGTGTTTTAATGCTTCCATTGATATCAGTGTCTTCTTTCACCTGTTGGGAGGACATACATAGTGATTGCTTGCTAATACTTTTGATTTCTCTTTACATATCCTCGAACTTTCTCACTCATTATAGTATGGTATTCTTCATGTGTGAATAAATTGTAGTAGTTTTAGTAAAAGGTATTTGTTGCAGCATCATAAAATGTCTATTTTA